GGTACCAGCAATCAAACTCACAACCTTGTGCTTGCCAGGCAGGTGCTGTGCCGCTGAGTTAAATCTCCAGCCCCTTTCCAGATTTTTTGAGAAAAAAATGCATAATTATGTTTAACTAAATTAGCATTACTCAATATTTAAAAAATAGCATACCTTTTAAAGTTAGAACTATACTGTAATAACATCAAAAACTCTAAATATTTTATGATGGTGTTAATGGCTTTATTATATCTTGGTGCATGTGTGTTCATGGCTTGTTTACTCAGCCTGCGTTATTAGACATTTATGTCATTTTCAAATTTTTATGCTTAGGATTGCACACAAAGTCAACATCTTTATCATTGAATCTTTCTGCATGTCTATGGTTGCATCACATCCAGTAATAAAATTGGTAAGAAAAAAACAGCACATTTTGAGGCTTCTGATATATTTTTCTCTCACAGAGGTCACAACTGTTTTCACTCTGCAAGGAGACATTTTTATATTTGTTGCTGTTAGCAACCTTAACTTTATATTCAATGGCCAACTACTGTGATCACCAACTAGTAAGTAAACATCTACTACCAATTTGTTTTAGAGATTACTTAACGATACACATATGTCATGTCACTATTCTTCCTCATTTATGCTTTTGAAAGGAAGCTAGTGCTGAGCTGGGGCATGAATCCTTCTCTCCAGATCACTTCCACATCTGGTTATCTACCTGGTCCTCCACCCATGTCCTGAGGGTTTGGTAAGAATGACAAGAAAAGAACCCACTTCCATGGGTTGTTAATGCCTATGTATATTGTAGCCTAGCCATATTTGTTGAGAGCTCATGCTGTAGTTCAACTCACTGTTGCTGTGTAAATGAAAATGATTTGAAAATGATCCTTGAACTACTGATTTGGGATATTCTGTTCCGAACAAATGGGTTTTAAAGAAGATTAGAAAACTCAAGCAATTCATGAGATAGAAATTTAATATATAAAAGCTTGACTTCTGCTTTCAACCTGATGGAAACTATTTTTAGTAGCATGAGACCAAGGAGTAGGAGAAGATACCGCCATATCATATCTATAAGGGAAAGTGTTTGGTTAATGCATGTAGGTTTACTGGAAAAGCTATTTAACAACAGAGAAAACACCTCTAGGAGGAAACTTGAATGTTTAGGGCAAATGTTTCAACAGTATGAGCCAGTCTGATGTCTTTGCCTGCCGCCTAGGTCTTATCTTTTTTTCTAGTATCTGCACTTGGGATTGCCTTTGTCTTTGTTCATGTGCCTTGCTTGGTTGCTGCCACTGAAACTGCTTGACTTTCATCTCCCAGAGGCTCTTCCTCTTCCTCAGGACTCAAGGTGCCTCATTACCTGGCCCCACGGCAGGTACACGCTAAAATAATATCACATGGGACGGCTGCTCCCTTGAAGGGCCTCAGCCTCCCAGGGGTAGTATGACTGCTGCTGTTGTATAACCTGAGAGACACGAGGGACTGAAGCTGTTATTACAACACTTCACACATACTTCTTTTTTGTTTGTTTTTGAGACAGTCTCTTTCTGTAGTCCAGGCTGTCCTTGAACTCACTGTGGCCTTAAACTGGTCTTAAACTTACTGCTATCAGGCTGGTCTTAAACTTGCTGCTATTATCCTGCCTCAGCCTCCCAGGGGCTGGGATTATAGGTATGCACCTCCAAGCCTGGCTAGCACACATACATTTGACTGCAGATGGAAATATCTAGGTGCTTAGATATTAATCATTTATTTATTCAATTGATAAAGATTAGTTGAGAACTTTCTGTGTATCATTTACTTCTGAATACTGTGGATTCTACAATGAATAAAAATATACAAATTTATGACCATAAGAGAAATTAGAATCAAGTAGAGGTGACAGATAATTAAGAAGTTGTATCAGTTTTATAATTTAATTTTAAGTAGTGACAAGTGTCATGAGGCAAAAGTAATAGAAGATGAAGATGGGTTATTTTTCTTACTAGAAATAAGGGAAGACCTTTCTGAGGCAGTAGTATTTGAGCAGAGAACTGAAGATACCTGTAAGCCTTAAAGATATCTGTAGGATATCTAAATTTCTGAGGGAAGACACAAAGGCCCAGAGATAAGAGTGCCTAAGAAGGAAAGAGGCCAGAGTGTCGGGGTAGAGTAGGTAAGGAAGAGAGTGGGTAGGGGTGAGGTCAGAGATAGCCACAGGAGTTATGCTAGGCAATGCAGGGTCCACCCAAGGAGAAGGCTGGATTTTGTTGGAAGTGTGATGGGGAGCTATTTGTG